GTCCACATGTATCAAAGGAGGCGAAATCGCCTGTTTGTGGTGCGACGTTAAATAAACTTCTACAACAACAACAACAACAACAACAGGTGGACTGAGACTTGACGGCGCTAACGGCGAATATCAAGACCTAGTTACGGCCACGGAGCTGCGGGACTCTGCGCTGGTCGTCTATCCGTGTGGAGGCAAAGCAAACGCGGGCAACATTCTGCTGAAGCGAGCGTGGAGCTGAAGCTGGATTGGTGACTGACGTACCTGCTTACTCCACAACACCGGCGCATAATGATGCGCATGTACAAGACTTCGTGAGTATTCAACTCAAGTTCGTGTTCCGTCAGCGTCAGTATCAGCAAGTACAGTCATGTAGTACAATTTGTTCCCAAAATAACTTCGGGACAGTCTGTTCATGGTTTTCATTTGTATTGGACTCGTTCTCTACACTTGCGATAATTTAGCGGCAATTCTAACGTTGTCCTCTTGTAATTTAGAGGAACCTGTATTGAGTAACTGAGTTTTATGTTTCGTTACATTGTCGTCAGATCTCCTGTGTACCGGTTTTGTGGCACAATGATTATAGCCATTATAATTTGGTCGTCTCCATTCTTGTGCAATCATGCATATGTAGGTTGGTTCTCTTCATGTTATTGTGACCAATTTCATAGATGTTGGTTGCCTTATTGCTTTCTCTCCCCTCTCCTCTCACCCAAGCCATTCTGCATAAGCGAAGCTGTGGACGCAGCATACTGCTGCTACATTTCAACGCGGGAATGCGTATAATAATAATAATATGTAGGGTTCCAATACTGTGGGGAATAGGTAGGAGATTTACAACCATCTGAAGGGTTTGTGTGGCCTGTTAGCGCAGCATGACCGTCGGAAAGCCCTATGGTCAAGTGATTGCATTCCTGCGATGTCAGCTATCCTTTGCGCTGCTTTGCGCAGCCACTATGTTCGTAACAAGAGCGCGCTCTGCGTATCATCGCCCTACCAATGCCTTGCGCACCTTGGCGATAGGCGAGTGCACGTTTTAGTCGTTTCCTGTGGTGTTCCGGAGTTCGATATTGATAAGTACATGATGTAATGAATCAGATCGGGTTATATTTCTGTCATACTACTGAGAGTGTATGGCATTTTCATTCTACGACAGTTCTCGTTTCATTGAATTTTGCTGTCTTTGAGTAGGGTCCTAATTTAATTATCCCATTCTTCCTTTCATGAAATTGTTTTCCATACTTGAATTGTGTTCTACTCTTCCATAAATTGCAAATTGTGTTTGCTCGTAAAAAGAGAGGCTGCTGGGACAGATTTACCACCATCATGAGCATAAGAAAATAATATAATTTTTCCTGAACTGTGAGACTCTTAACACATTACAAGGGTTGTAACTGAGAGGAGCATCATCATGGCTGATCATGGCGAGTCGATTGTCCGAGTCAGTTGTGGTGCATAGATAGGGATAGACGCACGAGAGCATCATCATAGCGAGTCGACTGCCCAGAGCCAGTTTGTGCTTCGCAGATGGCGATAAACGTTGGTTTCGAATGCTTGCATTCCCTTGCTGTGGGGAGGCTGGGACAGAAGAGCGGTGGGGAGGGAGTTCCAGTCACTAATACTGCAGTGTGGGAACGAGCGCTTCAATGCCAGCGGGACAGATGCAAGCAGCTGGTGTTGGAGCTGGTGGTCATGGCCAATGACACTACCATGCTCGCTGCGAGTTCTGGGGCTGGATGAGGGAAAATGGCGCGGTGGCAAAACAGAGATCAGCTGCGGAGGGCCAGGCAGGTAATGCAGCTTGTATAGGCAGGCAAGCGAGGCAACAGTGCGACGGATGGCCAGGCTAGGTAATAGTGCACCTGGACCGATGATTTGCAGAGCACAGCGTTGGATATGATCCAGGCGTTGCAGGTAGCTGGGCGGAGCACCTATCCAGATGAGGGGGGCATACTCCATAACCGGTTGAACAAATGCCTTATATACTGTAGCGCGAGAATATGCGATGTACGGCGCTGGAAGCCCAGGCGTTGCTTGGCTCGAGCGGCAACCTTCCGGAGATGAGTGCTGAATGACAGCTTCGAGTCATAGGTCACTCCAAGTAAAGAGAGAGCCTTCTCCTCAAGGACAGGAGTGCCGCCGAAGACAATGCGAGGCAAATTGATGGGGTTCTGCGGAGATTGGTTGTCATGGCTTGGGACTTCGACGGTTCGAAGGAAATGCGCCATCTGCGGCCCCACTGATGCAAGCGAACAGAAGTCTGGAGGTTTGATGCTGCGTCGGCTGGAGATGTGTCGAGGGATATCAGGCTATCAAGGTAGTATCGTCGGCGTACGCCTCCAGGTGGGCTCCGGGTGAGAGGGCCTCTGAGGCGTCGTTCACGTAAATCAGGAAGAGTGTGGGACCGAGTATGCACCCTTGGGGAACTCCTGATGATATGGTGTACGGCGATGAGGTTTGGCCGCCCACCAAGCATTGAATGGACCGTCCACCTAGGTAGGAAGAGAGCCAGGTATGCAGGGGGCCGCCAATGCCAAGATGGCGAACTTTTTGGAGGAAGCCTGTATGGGACACACGGTCGAATGCTCCTGCAATATCCACGGCTAGAATACGTGCTGCACCGCCTCGGCCACTTCAACATTGCTATCGCTGGGATGATGCCGTACCCGGTGTTTCCAGAGTGACCTCTTGGGAAGGTATTTTTTTGAACAGTCGAGCTTAGGATATTCAAAACATTTTCTCTCTGTTTGCGTTTCCTCATTTACCTTCAATTGTCGGGCACGACGGAACGCTCTACCACAGCCGTGATGCTTGCATTTAAACGGGCGTTCACCTGTGTGCTTTCGTAAGTGCATAATAAGATTCATTTTTTCTTTGAATGTCTTGCTTCCACACCCCAGCCATTGGCATTTAGGCTTGGCTTGCTGCTCCCTGCTGTGCAGGTGTTCATTGACGGTGTGAGCTGCAAGCTCTTCCACAGTTGCGAAGCTCTTATAGCAAACAGTTCCTTCACCATTGCTCACACACCCCTGACAAACATGGTTCGTTACAGCTGGTTTTTGGTTTTCACCATCGTCGGCCTGTTCCTTCATCGTGGCGGCAGCAGAGGCATTCGTCGGCTCAGAATCAGTAGAATCCACCATTTCTCTTTAGGCGAAAAGAAAGCAGGTAGTGCTGCTCCCAACGATGGGTGCACGAGAGAGGTGCTCTTGCAGAATACAGCTTGTGGTTAGGTTGTGGTCGAAAGCAATCAGCATATGCAAGCTGCTAAAATGGTAAAGGTAAAGTGCGTAAGATTTTCGTCGCTTGTGTGGTGTGTTTCTCCACCAATGAGCGCGTACTATGATTATTTATCGCTGTTCTCACACTTTACCATTTTAGCAGCTTGCATATGCAATTGATATATGTGGAAAGCGCGCACTTGCGCCATTTCTGGTATATAAGAATGATCATTCCTCCATTATCATCATTATCATCCTCTACTGATGAGCTCCGACAGGGAGCGAAACAGCTGTCTAGAGGCGTGGAGCAATAGTTATTATCTCTCAACGGAAGTGTCCTTGCTGGTGTCTGTATGGTTCGGCTGAAGAGCGCGTGGTTGTGATGAGTTGGGAATGCAATGAATTGAAAATATGGCCGAAAACTCTGTCGCAATATTTAGTTCTGTAGTATGAATGTAGTGTCGAACATGTAGGTGATTATATTGCACGACTGAAACTGCAGTAAGTTGGTTAGAGACGGGCACCATGACGAAGAGGTCGGGACCGTTTTGAAGAGTGGTGTAGAACTGTGTGAGAAATAAAGTGCCTAAGGGGGCATCTCCACAACCTTTAGAACAATCTGTAACATTCACACATAAAGTATAGAGGAAGCTGTGATGCGACCTCCCTTCTCACGTGTAATCAACGTCACTAGATAAGCGATGCATCCAAAAGTGGCACTGTGAACACAGAAAGATAGCAATGTAGAGAAGAGGAGGACCACAGCGCAACCTTAGACATAGACGATCAGTAGATACATCCACATATCCTTGGAGTGGAAGCTCAATGATATACCCTCATATACATCGGTGGTAGTATAGCACAATATCCTCAAGCTCAAAAAGCATTAAATTCGTACAATGGCATGGAAACTAGCGCTGTCAAAATCATAACAAGGAGGACGAGCTGAAGTCACATTAGACCAATGTCACTTCAGCTCATCCTCCTTGTCGTGAAATCAAATTTATGCCCCAGTACCTTTAACGAATTTACCCCCCCCCCCCCTTCCATTCCTGTCCTTCCATATGTTACTCCCCACCTTTCAGGATAATGTAAGCACTTCTAATTGCAGTTCGAAAAATGTTGACCACATTAGTACCACGGCCATCAGTATAATTATCACATAGCAAAAGTCTCTAGAACATTTTCTTTGCACGGTTCTCCACACCGCAGGATTGTCACTGACCATTTAGATAGGTAGCAACGGTGGTAAGGCCGAGTTTACATGACACCGCTGGGGGCGAAAACGCAAAAACATCCTTTGGGATGGATGGTTCATTCACACGGTACGCGGAGGAAAACGTAAAAGTTGTACACCCAAACCGGAAGGAAACCAAAACGCTGGCCAAAGGGAAAAATTTGGAAAAGGAAATGTTCTGCTGGAAATATTTCTTTAGTTTTCGCCCGTACACGCGGATCCGATGTATCCGACAATCAAAACAATTATTTTTTAAATGTTTATCATGTGAGGAGTGCTATGATGTGATTTGATTTCAACTATACGTTGAGTGTGACTGGTGCTTCCACGATAACACTTGGCACATGACGTGCTTTGGTGGATCCTTGGCTCCTGCGTAGATGCGCGAAAACGATACAAACGGGGACCGCGCCGCGGCCCGAATCAGCTTTGGTCATGTACACGTACGAAAACTAGCAAAGAAATGCGAGACTGAAAACGGAAAACTGGCCGTGCGTTGTCGTGTAAACGCAGCCTAAATGCCGATTCATAGTTCATTTCGCATACGTGGTGTTGTGAATGTGGGTCAAGAGCGCAGTGTGGAGAGGTAGACGGTTTGTTTAAAGAAAATTTGTGATTATTCTTTTAATCTCCCCAACAACAGTCCAGGTCAAGTTCCAGGAAATATTGACAAAGTCGTCCCTACGAAGTAAGCCCGCAAAACGTGCCACGCATCCTAATGACGCAACAGCCAAATTAACCACCTTGAAATCCAGCTACTGTCAATTTGTGGAACTGGGATGAGTCGGAACTCTAGTCCCACCGACAATTAGCTTCCCACTAAAAATATGAAGACGTTGTGTTTACGAACACAGCTCTTCAGGATCATGACAAACAAACATAAGACATAACATGCTTATGACTACAAGAGGGACACAGCAAACATGTAGGCTACCAAATTCCGTTAGGTGACCATGGTTACAGGAGACTCAGCGGACGCCATAATTATAATGAAAACGAATTCCGCATTGACGTGTTATGCTAGTGAAAGTATCTAGCCTGTTTAACAACAGAAACAAATCTTTAAATTATAGATCTGAGACACACTTCAAGAAAAGACAGGAATAGGACGAGCAAGACAGTCATACAATGTGTGTGTCAATTTTGATCTTTTCATCCGAATGCCTATCGGTGGGGCAAACTGAAGGTCGTTAATTATTATGGGCTAGAGAACAGTAGCAACTAACCAGCTATTTAAAATTTCACTTATCACCTTATTTGTCATAACGCTGATTTATTGTGAGTGCTAGCTGTGTGTATTAAGTGGAGGGCAGAGCATTGATTAGGATGTGAACGGTGGGACTAAGCTGCAGCCAATCAGTCTTCAGGGAGTCGACGATCACGCGCAGAAGAGGTAGCTTTTTTGTTTTGGAAATCTTCTCAGTGGTGAAGCCAGATGCAAAGTTTACATCGCTTTGTATCATAATTCTGCTTCTCAGTCTAATGATGGTGGTTGCGGGGGTAAGGCCGTTTGTTAAGCGCGCATTGCTGGGATTTTGGTGTCCGTGAAAGTGGCTGCTGCTGATGCTGTGGTGTTGACGGTGCTGGGACATGCTGCTCTAGTGGTTGCGCGAATGCACCATCTGCTTCTGAAGCTTGTCCCTTGGCCTTGATAGGTGTTCCTACTGGTGAGGTCTCTGCTGTAACGGCTGTTGAAAGTTCCAGAAACTCGTTCTCAGTCTTCGATGCACTCTCACTACCTGATGATGGAGAGTTAGGACACAACTCAGGCTCTCACTGATCAGATATGGAGAATGGTGAACCCTCACTTTCGCCCGTTGGGGATCCTGGATTCACTTCGAGAGAACTGGTTGGAGAAGGTATAGTATAATTTTCCTCGTCACTTCCTTCAGATTCATCGTCATGATGATCATCTGCCACATTGGCCACTGCAGCATTGTTATGGCTAGCATGACGACGTTGTAGATGTCTCCTCACTGAACTCGCGTGCTTATATTGTTTGGAACAACCAGGCTTAGGAGTACATTTGAGATATTTGTCTGTGTGCGTTACTTTGTGGTCTCTGAGAGACGTGTGAAAAGCAAATGCCTGATGATGTGCAGTTGGGGAAGGATTAACGATCGGGCTAGGCTGTGCAGTCTGGGTAGGGTGTGCAGTCCGTGTCGGCTGTAAAGTCTGGGTAGGCTGTGCGGTCTGGGTAGGCTGTGCAGTCTGGTTAGGCTGTGCAGCCTCGGTAGGCTGTGCAGACTGGGTAGGTTGTGCAATCTGGGTAGGCTGTGCAGTCTGGGTAGGCTGTGCAGTCTGGGTAGGCTGTGTAGTCTGGGTAGGCTGTGCAGTCTGGGAAGGCTGTGCAGTCTGGGTAGGCTGTGTAGTCGGGGTAGGTTGTGCCGCCTGGGTAGGCTGTGCAGTCCTCGTAGGCTGTGCAGTCAGGGTAGGCTTTGCAGTCTGGGTAGGCTGTGCAGTCTGGGTAGGCTGTGGAGTCTGGGTAGGCTGTACCGTCTGGGTAGGCTGAGCAGTCTGGATAGGTTGTGCCGTTTTGGTAGGCTGTATAGTCTGGGTAGGCAGTGAAGTATGAACAATTTTGCCAGGCTGGACTTGCTGGGCAGGCTGAACGGTCTGGGCAGGCTGAACGTTCTGGCAAGGCTGGATTGTCTGTAGAGGCTGGACACTCTGGACTTCGGGCGACACGGATGCATCAGTGTTACTGTCTCGCAATTCTGACAAATACTCCCATACAGACATCTCTGGTAAATCTCATGGAGAAGCGTAGAGCAAAGTTTACCTTCCTTTATCGTGTTATGAGCTTGGCATCGCTTTAAATTGAGCGTAATAGTTCAGTGGTTCGCCCAGTCGTAATGTCAGCCAGAGAAAACGATACACTGAATTGCTGAGCGAACATCAATTCCTGGTCTGCAATAAGGACAAGCAAACTGGACGGTCAACAATAATGTCACAGAAATTTTCAAAGTCCAGTCGAGCAACCACAACAAAGCAAAAACAAACTATTCTGAACAGGTCGCCTCTGGGATAACTCTCCACATAAACGAACGCATTGACCGTACGATGCTTACTGTCAGCTCCAGGGAAGTTAAGAATGTGTTAAGAAAACGAGTTTCCAGCGCCAATTCTAGCAATCCAAACTGTTCCAGCCTTGCTCCATATTGGCGACTTGCCTCAACATTGGGCAAGAGAAGCAGGCTCGACTTGATATTTTCCCAACTTCCTGCAAGGTTTGTTACGTTAGGAAATAGTGATAGCGGGATAATCGAAACCTCCAGCTTTGTAAGTTACCAGTATTCGGCTGCCATCGCGTCCCTGCTATCTCTTGCTGGTCTTAGCACCTTTTAAATGGTTTTCGTCTGATTATTAATTCAGTTACTGAAAATCAGAGTTACGAGTTCGTTATTATGTCTGTCTACTCCGCTCTTTGCTTTCGGCAAATAGAGCCCTCTACGGACAGTTGATGTACTTCGCATGGTAAAATATGTTGGGCTGTCATTGTACCAAGTAAACTAGTTCCATTAAGGTCGACTTAGAGTTAACGAGAACGTGTTTTTGGTGATTATTTCTGGTGTTGACATCACTCAAGGGATTCTTCAAAAACGAAAAGTAATAATTTTATTGATGTATTGACAATAAGTGTCCTACGTACTCGAGTTATAATACTCGTACAGTGATAATACAGTAACTGGCAGTCAATAATAGCAATTTGCAAGTAATCTAACCAAAAGTGGTATTTAATAAATAAAGAAATTGCTGCAGTAAAGAAAACCTGTGACAATGTCATGTAGAAAGATTATAAACGTCCGAGAAAGTGACTCAATACGACCCTTACAGTGATTCCAAGGTTCAGTGGAAGATTTAACATTCTACAAGTGGTAAAACCGTCCAATCCGGCCTGGTTCAGATGGTAGAAGTTATATAACTCAATTATGAAGTAGACATTGTTAGAGGGATGAGTTTTCTGTTTTGGAACTCTGGACGGTAGTCGTGAGTCCCACAAGTGAATATTCAAGTCCACAGGAATAGCACAAGCACAATACACAATTCGACAACTATCCCCGAAGTCGCACCAACCTCTTCTTCACATTGTTGTCCCCTGCGCGGGCTTTCAAATTAGAAAGTTTGGAGGCAACAACGTTGTGAATGGCCAAAGGTCTTCAGCATTTGTTCAGCACCTCCACCAGCAACAGTGACTCACGCTACGATATGGTTTTCACGAGGAGATTGTCGCGCTGGCAACGGTGCGTCTCTGTAAGTTTGTATCCCTGCTGATGGTTGTGCCTGGCGATCACTATAGAAGTGGTGCTCTTCAGACACATCCTTCCTCAGCCTACTGAATATCAACTGATCAGGGGTGAATTCCCCCCCCCCCCGTTTAAAAAACACTGCGTATTGAGCAGGGAATGGTGCTTTCTTCCAGGTTTGCAGAGTGGCAGGTTCGATGGACTTCTCGTGTGCTCTGGAAGGCAGTCGTGGGTCAGTGAAGTGAGAACTCAAGTCGGCAGGAATAACGCGAGCTCCCACGTATAGAGCAACACACAAGTTCCCATTTCTCCTCAAAGACCATTTTAGTAAAATAAAAGGACCAAGGAACTACAAGGTAAGCTATAATGTCCAGTGGCACTAACACCACCAGATACTTGGCAATCAGCTCATGCGATACCATTGCACAAACTGACCGAAATACGGACGTTCTACAACTAACTAGCTATCAGCTCTACTGCGTTTGGGTTGCGCACTCCAACAGCTTGTAGTTATATGAAAAAAATAGGAGGAGAAGGTGAGCGCGACCACGACAAGTAGGAGCTTAAAGGCTCAGCTGTGAAGGACGTTGGCGGATGTTCATGTATGTCGATGACGATACTGGCAAGACCATTAGTCAATGCGGTCAAACCACGATTCAAAGATGCTTAGCAACATTCATGTAGCACAACTTGCGTGGCTCTAAAGATGCAAAGATCAAATGAAGAGGAAGCTAAGCGAACATGAACCATGACAAACAAAACGTATAAGTTGAATAGTACTGTACCTCGGGTATGGCAATTTATACGGACAATAGGCAACAGTAACAAGCGCCAGATTCACACGACGATCGTTTTGCCGTCTAGATAAGGACGGCTAACCGGCTTTTTTCTCTTTTGTTTTCCGTTCTTTTGATGCTGCTGCCCTATGCCAAACATAACACCCCTACAACTAGAGTGATTGTGGGAGATAAATATATACATACTTATACCTCATTCCATATTCACCCACATACAATTGTCCATCTACATAAGTGGTGAATATTGCTGAATATTCACCGCTTATATTCATCACTTACCTCATATTCGATACATACTGTAAGTGTAAAGAGAGCAGTACTCGGTGCTGCGCTTGATTCCTCTTCAGTCAGCGCACCGGAGCTGCCGAGTGCCCTAGAAAATTTCTACGCTAACTTCCGTAAACAGGACTTTTCTGAGTAGAAACGAAATTCCCTGCTTGCCATCGCCGCTGGATCCGCATGTGAGTCTTGATGATGTGACCAGGTGTGGACAAGTCATCAGCCAACAGTGAGCATCTTCACAGACGGAGCATTCCAGCGAGCAAACAAGGTTTTGGACGCTCCACATGTCAATGGCCCGATGATTGCGGATCAACTGGCAAGCCAGGAATTTCGTTTGTACTCAGAACAGGCGTGTTCGGATGTTCGACGTTAGCGTAGACTTTTCCTACAGTCCATTTCCAAACTATAAACGCGTACCTAGGCAAAAACCGTTATGCCAGCATCTATACCATATAAAATCTGTGATCACTTTGTGCATATTTTTTTCCAACTTGGGCGTCTGTTATCCAATCGTTTGGAAACTATTTGAGAGTAATTGTGGAGCGTTCCTGAGCAATATTCCGAAAACTATTCTCAAAACGTTCAAGCCAAATTTGAAATAATTATTTCAAAAACCCTACGCGTCTATAGTTTTGAGATGGACTGTAGGGCACACAGCAGCTCCGAAGCGCTGCCTGAAAAGAAAAGAAGTGAGGGTAGAACCGCTTGGCTCGCTGTATATAAACCGACTCGCGAATTAGCGCGATGATCGCGGATTGGTCAAATCTTCGCGTGAAACGAAACCTCTCTGGGATTGGCCAAATCTTCGCGCGAAACGAAACCTCTCTAATGATTGGCTCCCGCCACAACGCTGCACGAGCGTGTTCTTCATGGTGATTGGCACGAGCGTGTTCTCCAAGGTCGTCACCTCCCATGCCACTTGCACCAGTACGTGTACACGATCGATTGAACAAGATTCTGAACACGCCGCCCTCCAATTCAAGCAAAGAACACGCCAGTCGGTTTACGACACTGAAGCAACAACGACTTCTGCGTACATGTACATGTATGACCAAAAGAACTCGTGTGTTGGGTTTTAGGGACGAGAGGGTGAATATGGAGAGGTATAAATCTATTATTACCTTCAGCCTCGTGAATATGGGCGAATATTCACTAGGTATTCGCCTCGGTTTGTATACTAGTGAATATTCGCCCATATTCACGAGGCTGAAGGTAATATATATATATACATACACACAAAAGGCGTATACACGTACATACATACACGTACATAGATATGGAAACAAAACATTCATGCATAGTACATAATCGGCATTCTGTGGGTGTATGAAAGAAACATGGAGAATATTGGATATATGCATTTATCAAGTACTTCCTCCGTATACAAAAACTTCGTGACTTTTTTTGAACGGTGCTTTTGAGCAATAACCTGCTCAACGAACGGCGCCAAAGGCTGTCATCGACAACCCACGTCCATGTCGAGATGAGTTTGGTTGATCCCGAACAGATTCTCCACGTACGCCATGCGTGTGAGGACGTTGCCGACAGAAACTCAAGAGTCAAATGAAAAAAAAACTAACATTTACTTGCTTGAAACTGACACAGTGACGAAGTGTAGCTCGTGGCTGGAACACGGAGTCACGCGGCACTCGCTGCCGTGAAACTGGCGAGGCTCGTACTTGCGGTGCGCGGCCCCATATCTACGCAGCGTGAGAACATAGATTTGTTTCGCTCGCACGGCAAGATGAAACATTTCAGTCGTCGTGCAACCAGCGCAGACTTAGGATGAGAATGTCGATGGCCTGGCTTTCTTCGCCTCTCTCCAGTCAGACGCCTCCTTTGTCGCCAAGGGGAATCGCAGGGACCTCCTCGAAGCCATTGTAGAATGCTTGGGAGGATTATCCTGGCGAGAAAATGCGAAGCGTGTGGATGTGCTTGTACGACTCGTTTCACGGCACAATGGAGGTCGCGGGTTGGAACAACTGAATATAGTTGACACCGATTCGTACACAGCTCTAGAGATGAAGAGGACGTAGCCAAAGTCCAGCGTCGGATCATCACTGCAGGTGACAAGAATCTGAACGAAATGCGAGCGGAAGCAGAGTCTGTTGGCGATGCGGAGTCAGCGTCGTCAGGTGACAATGACATGAGCGACGAAGACTCTGAAAAAACTCAATCTCATTCGTCTGAGTTGCATTTTCTTTGTATATAGCTTGTAAACAGGTTAGACAATGCCACGAGTGTTATTCCGAGTCAAACGGAACAATAGGGCTTGAAAGTGCTACGTCACTCCATAGCAATGGCATAGCAACAATTTGAAAAATTCGAAAACTGGATCCACCTGGATCCAGTTTTTGTATGGATCCAAGCACATTTCAAGCGGTCTCACTCACAGCAAGGTGATGTTGCCAGTGAAACTGACTGATTTGGCTAGTGGGGGCGGGGTGACAACTGGTGGCGAAGTAAAAGTTGCACCTGCATACGGCATGAGTGGGTTGCTATGCACCCACATACTGAGGCAATAGCAAAGTCACACCTTAGTGGATCCAAAATAGAAATCTGATGTCAATTTACTACTCCCAGGCCGTTTTTGACGTCATCACTTTCAAGCCCTATTTCAGAGCTGTGCGCAGCTTTCAAAAAAAAGTCACGAAGTTTTTGTATACGGAGGAAGTACCGTTATTGATGGACTTGTTTTCAAGTATTCCAACAACCCT